AAATATATTTAACCTTAACACTGGCCGATATCGTTGTTATCACACTTGGGAACAATGAAAAAAACGAATGAATGATAAGAAAATTTCCGATCACCAAACAAAGAGGTGACAAGCCTACTAAAGAAAATATCTTTACATATCTCATAACCAAACTACTTAAAATTAACGTACATTTGTCCCGATGTACGTATGTCTGTTAATTCTATATAAAATGAATATAAAACACCTATCGCCGAAAAGTAACAAACGATGAAATTTAAAAAAAAAACTGGCATCTTGAGTTTCTTGTACAATTTTGAGTTTCCACTGCCTGTACCTGTAAAAATCTTGTTGTCTCTATTTTTGCCAAGGGAATGAAAGGGATGACAGTATATTTCGTGCTGAATACAAGAAATGGAAACGTACGGTTGTGATACTTACGCAAACATAGGTGGTGTGTTCAGTATAGAATCATTCTTTGCTGTAATAGTCCAGTCGAAGATAGAAGGGCAAATTGGCAAAGCTTGATTCAAAAGATCTTCTCGTACTATGACGAGCGCGACTCCCGCTGTGCCAATGTTTTTCTGCGCACCACCGTAGATAACACCGAACTGAAAATGAAATAGGTTTTTCGATTACTAATAAAACGTATTTTCTTTTGTTTTTATGTATTTTAAATTCTCAAATATATGCAACCTTGAACTTGTACTTGTTAAATAATCCAATTTAAAAAATTGTTAAATTACTTTTGAAAAAATTAATTGATTTATATGCTCTTGTCTTTCATGTTTCAATACATCCTTAGTTTATAAAAAAATCATGCATGCACTTAACAGAGATAAATAAATATGCACATTCGTATTCAGAAAAAGCTTTTCAACGATGCAACACAATGAAAATATTTGTAAGATTTGGTACAAATGATTATCGTATAACTTACTTTAGAAACATCAATTTTCTTTGACATAAAATTAGAGGACATATCCGCAACTAAAGGCACGCCTTTTGTGTCCGGAATAAAGTCAAATTCCACTCCTGAAAAATAATTATTATGGTATGTAAGTTTGTATACAGTATGTGTCTATAAAAATATGACCAAAGATTCCATTACAGGTTAAGTATTGCATGAAGCAGTGACCAAATTTAGGTCCTGGCCACAAACACAAGAGAGACAGAGAAAGAAAGAAAAAAAATACAGAATACAGATTAAATATGTAATTACACGATATTAGATTATGCATCTTACCGTGAACAGTTTCGTTCGTGCAGATATGGACATAAGAGGCGTTTGGGTCAAGTTTCCATGTGGACACGTCTGGAATTCCCGTGTGACGATCCGTCGTTGGTAGTACTAAGTTCACTTTACCATACTTTTTCGCTTCCTTTGCAGCTTTTTCCGACCATGTACCTAGGGAGAAGATAAACAAATGAATTATGAGCAGCGGATGAATACTGAATAATACTGTTACTGGGTTTCATTCTTAAGGTGTCTACAGATTAGATCAAAATTGTTCAAGTTGCGTATTCAGGGTTAGAAAAAGTGCATTCGCTTCGAAGTGATTTCATAAGGAATTTCAAAAATATATGAAATTGACAGACGACAATCCCGTGTCTTATCGAAAGTTATTGTCAGTTCTATACATTTTGAAGTTCGCTATGGAATCGCCTCGAAGCGAATGCATTTCGTCTAACCCCGCTGATAGAACAATTATTACCTGTGACCACATAATCTGCGGTCCCTGTCCTGGATATCAAGTTAAGAGGCACCGCTGCAAACTGACCCTGACCTCCACCCGCCAAGAACAAGATCTTGTAGTTACTCGGTACATTTCTACAATGAATAACATTAGTTAACAATTGAAGACAACGCAAGGTTAGCGATATTACGTAAATCTAAATAAGGACAATTTAGCTTAGAAAACATTATTGTTACGTTTGTCCTTATTCTGATATAAATATCAAAACATGTGAATAACATAACGTTGTCTATTTAAGACTATTAATATTGTTTACTTTCGATAGTACCTCGACCATGAGATTATGTTCATGTTATATCATACTAGCTGTCGCCCACGACTCCGTCCTCTCGGGATTAAAAATAGATGTTGGCCGATTCTCAGACCTACTCAATATACTCACAAAATGAGATTTTCATGAGAATCGGTCAAGCCGTTTCGGAGAAGTATGAGAACGAAAATTGTGACACGAGAATTTTATATATAAGATTAGAGTATTGAAGCTTGTAAATAGTATTTCACACATAGTGACCCATGTCACAATTTGAACATCGAGTGAAACATTTATTGGTCGGAAGTTCGATCCTAATAACCGTTTCAAAATACCAAACTCTCTGTATAAAACATATCGTCATCCCTGTTATTATATTTAACAAAACAGTGATGAAAGTATGTTTTTAACGGAGACTTTCGTCTCATAAAACCACGGTAATAATAAAAGACTAACGTTTCAATTATTTTCATATGTATATATGAGTTTTTAGAACAAATTATATGTTATTTAATTTATGACAGGATACATTTTATTAGATTTAAGTTAACGTTACCGAAAATTCTAAAGCAACGCGAAAGCATGTTTACATATCATTATTTCAAATTATTCAGATTTATCATTTCCTAATTTACACTTAAATTTACGTATAAATGTAATAATTTACATAATAAAATAGATAACATTACAAAAGGGACTATCGATACGTGACCATAAAAATAATAACCGATTTAACAATCTTGATATTATTAGAAATGAGTTGTATCGATAAGCATTGTAATACATAATAGAGTAATTTAACAAATCATTAGCTTTAAAAATGTGTTAAGCACGAATAATACATCAAACTATAATAAAATTAATGTAACAAAAGTCGTCTGAATTTTAGTCATACTATAATAATGTTATAAATGCGAATGTTTGAATTGACGGATGGATGTGTGTTTGAAGATATCTCCAGAACAGCTGAACGGATCTTGATGAAATTTGGCATACATATAGAACAAGGTCTTGAAGAACATATAGACTACTATGTTTTTTTTTAATTCTGTGCGGAAGAAGTAGCGAGCGACCGCTAGTTTAATTATAAAAAATAAACACTTTAAAGTATTGTTAGAAATCACGAGTTAATTATTTAATCGGGTGGTTTAATAATTTTATAACAAGTGTCAATGGTAACATGGTTTTGAATTTCACTCTTCGTAAGACAATGTGATAAGCAGAACTTATCAAAATGCTTGTGACTAACAACCAAATACCCTTGTTTGTTTTTTACTTGTTATCTATTGCAAATCTGTATTCGTAAGGAGAACGAAGATAACAAAAAATAACATGTTTTCGAAGTTATCAGCTTTTAAAACGAATATCAGTAAAATATTAAAGATGTTTTCTTTATGAAGTCAATTTAACTTGGTTACTAAGTTCAATATAACTTAGATTTGATGTAGGTAAACCAATCTCTACGTATTTAATATCATAATCTATATACAGGGTTGTATATACTTAAATTCACTTCATACTTGGCTCGTATTCGCAGGGGCGTTTTTTTTAACTCGACGTTGGCGAATCTCATGCAGCTTTAAAATCAATGTAGTTTCCATAGCCTCAAAATGTAACACTGCGTGTAAACAAGTGTTGCGTTTTAAAAGCGTATACCGTATGAACAAATACATAGAAATGCATTTCTTCTATTTAATGTAATATTTAAAGTTTGGCAATGATTTAACTTTAAGTTGAAAAGTTATTTACAGTTACAGTTCATAAATAAAAGGGATAAGTACTTTTATTTATGGCCATGATCAAAACCATTAGTTTTACTTACAATAATCTTCTTACTACATCTTGTATTTCAGTATTCAATTTAAGGTAAGTCTGCGAACGGTGACTGGTTTCCAATAAACTAATTCCCGTGCCACCGAAATTGGTCAATTCGTCTTTTATTATTTCGTATACCTACAAAACACGCAGATTATAACACTCTGTATAAGAATTTATAGGTTATAATTTCTATTTGTAACTTACTTCTTCGGGTAATTTTGCCGGTCCGGCGCCGAAATTATGTATTTTCACCATGTTAAATTTATTAAAGTAAGTTACAATACAATGTGCACGAGCGCGTCGCTTGAAAACCAAGCCAGACTGGTTTCGAATAAGATAATTTAGGTATAGAAATATGCCGGTCTGACAGTGCGATCACTGAGGGCAAATACGTACAAGTATTATGTACGCAACGCAGCACTGTACTGTATTTATATTGTGGGTTATCGGACTTGTAATTGACACTAACATGTTTTACATATTATTTTTTGAACTCGTTAAACTTGTAACAATGGTAAAAATTACACATGTCCAGACAGTCCGGGCGAAAAACTTATTCTAATTTATGTTTTTAGTTGCTTTTCTCAACCTCTAACCAAGGATGGTACCTGCTGATTAATGGTTAATTAATTATTAGGCGTCTATCATAACTATTAAACTCTATCTACTACCTATTTTTCTTTTTACTTAAAGTGGTTTAAACGCGAGAGAGAGTTAGACTAACAATATTTTAAACATTTTATCCTGGTTATAATAATTAACGCTTATACCAAACCAATGAGGTTTATTTAGCGTTAAACATATGTTTATTTGTATTCAAAATTGTATTGTTAAATAAATAAAAAAAAATTAAAAGAGATGCGACTATCTAACATCAAGCTACGATGTATGGGTGCCGAGCAGAAACAAGAAAACGCTAAGCTAAAAAAAGTCGACAAACTTTCAGGGCGATTCGTAATAGACCAAAAGATGGCGCTATACTTGCAGACTGGAGCACAGAGAACAAAAACATTTACATTTCATGGTCATGCTTATATTTAATACCTTTGAATAGTATTAATAATAATCTGTTATTTATAAACCTTAAGTAAAATTTCACAGCGTTTCAATTCATGCAAAAATAACACGGATCGAAAAAACGGCGACTTGAATAGCAGTTTAATGTAACGAGATTTATTTTAATCTGTGGCGCGAGCTTGAAGCTTGGAGATTTGAAGTGGTTTTCATTCGATTTTTACAGAAGTCTAGATTTGTCGTATCTTTGTTTATTCTAATTCTTGTTTTACTAATATTTCATAAATAATATTAGTAATTTGAAATATTTAAAGTTGTATTAAAACTTATACCCCTGGTCTCAAAATTACTCAGATAAAGGATATGCCTCCGGTTAAAGATGAAACGATAAGAGAAATTAATTGTTTAGATATAAACATAGTAGAGAAGAGCCCAGCAAAGAACAGTACGCTTGTGGATGTGAGGGCCTGTAATAAACCTGCTGCCAAGGTATGTTTTGCTACTAATTATTTGCTTTCAGCACCACAATGTTTTTATTACACATGTGTGAAATATTTCTAGTAGGTTTGCTCCTTTATTGTACTTATCACTGAGATTTTATTTGGAGTAGATTAGCAAGAAGTTTTTTTACAAATTAGTTTACTTTTGTAAAGCTGCTGTTGTACAGGTTAACTTATTTTATTTGGTTTTTTTAAGAGCTTTGATATAGAAATTCAATTAAATGCATTTTACAATGCAACTTAATACAAAATCAGTGCTGGGTGAAAATATTAAGTAATATATTCTGTGATGTAAGTGTTTTGTTATGGTTATGTTGTCACAATTCATTGTTATATAATCTATCAATTACATAAAATAATTTAATAGCTAAAAAAACACAATTATCATTAAAAAAAATAACTCCAACTCTTCCATTTTTGGTTAAAATAAAAAGGATCATATTTAGACTGACAAAAGCTTATTACAAGAATGGGATCTCAAGAAAACTGATTCACCACAATTTATATTTTATGTACATTTCAATATATGATGATGAAAAAAATAATTCTTACTTTGCTGCTGCAATGTCAAACCAAAATAAATGAATAATTTCTCAGGAAGACGGAGGCAAATTACCAGAAAAATTTTGTTTAATCTTGTAATTGTTTGAAAATATCAACACAGTAAAAATGCATTTATTTATTGTTCAAAAGACCATGATAAAAGTACATACATATTTACAACAATAATTTCATCATCAAGCTCTTCATAGCTATATGTTGTTGTTTTCTTGTCAACTTCCCGTTTAATTCTCATCTTTATTTTATTTTTAATTCAAAAAGGTAGAGATCTCAGTGGCCGAAAGCAAATTTTTGGCAGAATGATTTAAATCCTTGTGCTCCAAAAAGATTGGATAGCTAATTCACTCAATAGTAGTATTATTTTTTTTATGATAAAATTGGTGACAGTGGGATCACTGGGAACTTAATTAAACCTAGAACAAAAGTATTAAAAATAATTGACAATATCTGATGTTTGATTGTGATAGAGGATTAATTAATATTTTTTGTTATTTAAATCCAAATCCTAATTTTCTTGTCTTCTTTTTAACCTATTGCTATTTTATATAGGTTAGTTGACAAAGAGTCTATGAAAGTTGTTCTTTTAATATGCTATTACTAAGCAGGATATTTTTAAATGAATAGTATATAACGAAATTATTATTTTATTTTACATTGAGCATAAAATGTTATTCATGTAAGATGTTATGTACTTGTTCAATAAATTTTGCCTTTGAAATATAATAATGATAAAAAATATATATCTCACGCTTCGAAGTCTAAATTGACGTAGAACAAACGTGCGAAAGCAATTTTATCACACATTAATCTTACCATGGTCTTTTTATTGTTATTCAGTCTGTTAGGTATTCAGACTACTGTTTCTTCACATGGTGACGCCATAGGAAAATCTGTTTGCTAATACAAATATTACGTAGCGACTTTTTTGGCTATATATTCGTAATTATTGTGTCAATAAATTCCCTTCCTGAATAATATCGAATATTTTTTTTCTTTCGCATTTCTAAGTTTAATAGGTTAGTAATGTTAATCAACACATTGTGGAAATGTTTTCAAATCAACAATCTGACCTCTTAATGTTTATTTTTTAAACGACTTCAAAAAGTCAAAAAGGAGGAGGTTGTCAATTCGTCTATTATTTTTTTTGTTCGTCGATAACTACGCCCCTAGTTGTCCCATTTTAATAATTCTTTTTTTATTCAAAAGGTATTTCGTGTCGTCTTATTTTACTTCGATAATAAAAAACTTTTACGGTTTTTAATATTATTTAAAATAATAAAATATAGATTTATGGTCGCTCATAGAAATCTAATTTGTTTACAATTGTCCGTAATAAGAAAGGAATGCAAATATATCATAGAATTGTATTGTTCATTGAAACGATAATAATGCTGACACCGAAACTATAACAAATACATTAAAACATAAGTCATTTTTAAATTCCATTTAGAATTGGTAATGTTAATTAAACTTCTCACATCACTGGGAAAAAAAATACTTTTACTGCCAGGCGCCCTTATTCAATAATTTATTGCATTTTTTTTTACAAAAGAATCCAGAAAAAGTATTATTCCAAGTCTTACCCCCTTTAAGAAAATTCCATTTAGCTTATTGACATCAGCGGCAACAATTAGAAATATATTTTTTATATTTTAAGTTTCAACAATACAATTGAACTTGGTGCCGTACTAAAATTTTGTTTTATCGAAAAGGTATACCAATTCTGGTTTACCAAGATATTTAAGTCTCGAGTCTCAACTTCCTTAAAGTTTTGTCTTGAATGCCTCTTTGTATAAATTTTTTAGGTTACAATATGACATCCTCCATGACGTCATATAATATAAAAAGTGTTGGGGTAAAGACTCCTACAGTTAGTATACTTCCGGGTTATAAGATCACTTGAAAAATTTTAATAAAGTACTTATTTCCCTTTTGATAGTGATCGTGTATTGTTTAATATTATGATTTTACGGTTCGTATTTGACGGACTTACTACTAGTAATTCTACTCGTATCATTTATGTAGGAAATTGAGCATGAAATAGTGTATCAATGAACTAGAGGGTCGAGTTTCTTTAGATAAGTTTGCGTTCATTTTTGCTAAGAATATTTAAATGCATGATGCCTCTAGGTATGGTAATTTGCTTTTTAGTAATTGTCAATAGTCAGAAAAGGTGCTTTATATCTTGGAGGATGTGTATTACTCATGATACCGTTAAAACAATAAACGATTCAATTCCATAAATAAAGAAAATATTTGTTATTGATTATTTATTCTGAACTCAATCTAGAAAGCAAATAATATCGAAATGATTACGTAAATGCTTACATCACAGATTGTTTTATTTCAATTTATTGTTAATTGATATACAATCTATAGCGAAGCGTAATGAATAAAAATTTCTCCCAGCATCTACAGACTGCACAGGCGTTGTAATGTATCTTTTCACTTTTTTTTCGTCTGCCGCTCGACTCGCGCGCCTTTGCCGCTGTCATAATCATTCTCGTAATTACTCTTTGAAACCGGCTAAAGCTGACTATTGTATACAGCATTATATCATACATCTAGTTTATACATTTGTTTGTACGCTTCATTAAAGTTTCGGTGTTGTTTTTATTTTTTTTTACAGTTCGTGATGTGCGCTGCCGAATTTAGTGTTACTTGTGTACATGATTTTATTTTTTAAAATGCACAGACTGTTTACACATAGTTGTGGAGTACGAGTGTAATGTAGTGCATGCCTTATTTCGCACATAGTGACGACGACATGACTAATTCACAGGTATTTTTTTAATTTTTTAATCTGTCCTAAACATTCGCACTGGCAGGTAAGTAATTCATTCATAGAAACATTAAGCTTGCTACTGACTGCTTAAATCTACTGTTACGAATACAATAATGCCATTTATCAATCGAACAAAGAAATTGATATCCTCACTCTATCGTATTTACGCACATTGTTGAGTCACTGTCCCACAATATTATCTCTGGTCATCTTTTGTTCTATTTAGGTAAAGATGTCTTTTTTTTTAATTCGAAGGAATAAAAGGCAAGAGTCAGACTTTAGATCACACCTATTGTTAAATCCAACTCCTTTGGATACAAATAATATTTTAATATTATAACCTCTACACATATCATTTTTTTTTAAATTATATATTCTTGTATTCTGTGCACAACAGCGGTATTGTATCGATGAAATTCGGTAGCGAGAACTTTTCGTGTTAGCAACAATTTAATTGAATCTAATTGTCGTGACCGAGTGCTGTTTGAGAAGTATAATGAGAAGCAATAAGATCGTATTTGCATTGCTTAACCATGGACGTTTGACGTTTTTATATATTCATACTATACTTTATATTAGTCTTGTAATGTATAAATAAATCCTTAAGAATTTTTCTGTTATAATAATTTAAAAAAAAAGGACCTTGACAGATAGACGGACGAACAGCAAAGTGATCATAAGGGCTCCGTTTTTTCCTATGAGGTACGGAACCCTAAAAATCGCTTAAATTAATAACTAACTTAAAATAAGTAACTTATTAGCCTAAAATCGTTCACTGCTAGACGATGTCCTCCTTCAAAATATAATTATTTATAATTCACAATTTATTTTACTGTTATTAGTAGGTAGTGTTTTTGTATGTCTTCCGGTTGCAATTGTAACAATCATTCAAGCTGGAACAATAGTATTAACTGTTCAAACGATTGTGCAAAGATATTTTCAAATACATATATATCTCTGCCTATATTAACGAGGAAGTGTTATTGACGACTGACTTATTGGGCAACGAAATAAACTAGATAAAACCTAGGCCTCATCATTATTCTATTCAGGCAGATTGTCACGTTTTTACAGTGATTTTGGACGAATTACCTCGGAGATCGATAAATTCGCAGCGTTGTTACGAGTTACTTGGATAGACTGATGTTTTAGTAATTCATTACGTTACACATCAGAGTAGCAAGCCCGTTTAATTCTGCAAATATCTTTAATCTTTTTAATTCATCTTGACAATTCGTAGGTATGGTTCCGTGGTGTGAGAAGCTCCAAATTTCGGCACGTTTACGGCGTGTCGTTCAAACGGGAGCGATGTTACGACAACATAAAGATAACGAGGAATGCCCACGACTCCAACTTTTGCGCTGTCAATCCCAAGTTCGTGGCCATTGTCACCGAGGTCGCAGGTGGCGGAGCCTTCCTAGTGTTACCTTTGGATCATGTAAGTAAACATTTTTTGAAGTCATAGCTATATTTTCCTTCCCATTGCACGACATTGGAAATTATATATTGAATCTAACGTTTGCATGACATTGATTTATTTGTGTGTTGCATATGTTTAGTAATTTATCAAGCGAAACTCAGACTATAAGCTGATAAGTATTATCGCTTCTCATCTGAGTTCGAACCAAACGATTGTATTTCAATGTAAAACGTGCTAAGTATTCGTTGTCTTTTCTTTATATTCATATGATAGTATAAATCAAGGTTGGAAACTCCTCTATTTGTTTAGGTATAGACAGACATAATAGGATGGTATACCTGTAGCTTTTAACCGACAAAAAAGACAATATAGGCATATTACAAGAAAAAAGATAACTTTTTAATTTTCGATGGTATTGATACTATTATTTTGTTAATTTTTAGTGCATTTTGTTTGAGAACGTTTTTTTGAAGTCGGTTTTCTTTTTCAATAGTCCGCAATTTTGGTATCGATATGATGTATTCAGTGCGTTTGTACTCGTCGCACGAGTCAGCCCCAAATGTACATTCAATTGGCACACTGCCGAAGTAGGTTAATGCCCTTATTTGCCGTTTTTGTGTGATGCCCTATTTTGTGTCTATATTATCGTAGGTGATTTTCTTAAGGTTATTTATATAAGTGGAATTTATTACATTCTTAATGAATTTTTATGTACGCGATGGTGACGTAGCGAATACTTAAAATTTATATTTTCCGGAACTCTATTAATTATTTCGATGTATAATCGAAATGTGACAAATTGTTTACATATTTTATTTCAAGTAACTTTTTTATTATTTATTAGTCTTAATTAAGAGAAAGTTGCGAATCATTCATATAAGAAATTAATATACAAAGTACTGGCACGGAAACGATCACCAATTATAGGAAAGTTAAGAAATCGGACATACCAATTGAAAAATGTAATCCTTGATTGTAGATAATAATCGTATTATCTCATCGAACTGTTCTTATTCTGGTCGATGCTATACTAAATCGTCATTCAGAGAAACTCAAGTATTTAGACTATGTGATATAACATCGACCAATATTTCAATTTGAAAGATCGAATTCAAGACAATTATTGTTACTTTCTGCTAACCTGTCTTCCCGTAGACCAATAGATAACTCCTAAGATCGAAGAATTCAAACTATATAAGAGTTTTTTATTACCTCTACAGTAACTTATACAACAAAATCCATGCCTAGATTTTAGCATTACAGCAGGGGGCTTTGTACTCTACGACGGTCAAGGTTTTTGAACCTTGTACAACATGTTTATTATTCTAGATTTCACCAAGCCCTAGACGTTTAAAAGAAAGTAACTGATACAGGGTGATTAATTCATGGATAAATAATAATAACTTGTATTCCCTCGTGTGCGCAATTTCACTTTTAGCAATATTCGTTCGGATTTAAAATCAAAATGTAAAGACGTTATGCTTCGAACTATATTCTTCAACTTACAAAATGTATGTCAAGCTTGGATCAATAGCTTTAAATCTACCTATACCCTGAGTCATGTATGGGCCTCGGTTTTAATTATTATATTCGTTATTCGTATTTCTGTAGTTTTTATTATTTTCTGTGAGCGGAAAATACTTATCTTTATCTTTTATGTTTGTACGTGAGAAATATTAAAAAAAAATATTAACTTGATTCAAACAATGGAATATTTAAAATTTCATAATTATATTCTGGTAAATTAAAAATACATTCTGGCTATTTATGTCATATTTTTTTATACTCTTTGCATTTTGCTTAGTATTTATATAGTAGGTTACGATATTAGCCGCCATTGTTTAAATCAAAAAATCAATATCCCTATCGAAAGATATGATTGCGCGTCACTGTACCATACCAACCTTTTCCTAAATACACAATACCCTTACCGTAATATGCAACGTAATAATCTTACTTCTTACTATCTTACTAATATTATAAATGCTAATGTTTTGATGGATGGATGGATTTTTGTTTCAAGGTATCTCCAGAACGGCTGAACGGATCTCAATTAAATTTGGTATAGATGTAGACCTCAGTCTGGTAGAACACATAGCATACTAATTAAGTTTTTATTCTATTTCCGCGCAGACAGAGTCGCGGGCGATAGCTAGTATACAAATATGTATTCAAACAACATAATTAAATATAATTAATCACTTTTTTGTTTACGTTAACTTGATAAATATTTAACAACTGTCTCAAAAAATAATATCGTAAAAGGTAAACTCTAAAAGTACGCTACGGTTTTAAAGGATGTTTATTTAACAAAATCAAAAGTAAATGAATTTCACATCTGTACAGTACCGTGTGAATGTTAGAAGTGTAATAAAATACAATGTTTGTCGTGTTTTAATGAAGAACAGCTTAGGTTGTAAGTTCACACTTGTGAATAGCCATTCGCACATTCGTAAGAGAAAGTACCTGGTATGCTATGTTAAGCAAATTTATATGTCGCGCTAGAACAGCTGGCTTCTATTGACCGAATAAATATAAAATCGAACATGGATAATTAAGAAACCAAGGTCGACCTTCATAAGAAACTCAGAGTAGAGATAGCTATAAGAGAGCAAAATATTGCGGTCTTTTGGACTGTCGTTTATCCGGGCTCGATTGTTCAAAAAATTATTACTGTCTTTATTTAAAAAAAGTGACGCATGATAACATACTTTGTGCAGATAATTTTAAGAAAATTCAATGTTCTACTTGTAATAACATAAATAATATTGGACGCTTTTCCTTTTTGCGTTGTAAAAGTATACCTTATACGAGTTAGATGTAATTTTTACAATCTATCCGCTATTTAACATATTTTTAGTAATTTCTATGAACGAGACTTCTTAACCCAAAAGATATAAACATCTTTTGGGCTTGAACATATGCGTTCCTTGATAAATAGTTGGTGATGATAATTTTATGTGTCAGTGTAAAATACAGTTCACGCGTCTAACGAAAAACGAAACATCTATGTTATGACTACAATAATCCAAACAGACGATAACATTACGAGAGACGTAAAATTAGTTAAAAGTTGCTACATTTTCGATAGTAATCGTTGTCGGGCAGCTGGTATGAGGTAACATCTGTGTGTAATTGCTTAAAAATTATACTTATCAACGGTTTTTATTTCTAAACCCGCTGCCGTGCACAATTGTCCGTCCTCATTCCATTTGAATTATACGGTTCGCAGTTTTTCGCAATGTTCATTATGTAATTAAACGATATGGATTAGGAATTACAACTGCTTATACAATTTTTGTACGTAATAATCTTACTTATATTATTAATGCAAGAGTTTAAATGGATGGATGAGTTTTTGTTAGAAAGTATGTCCAGAATGGCTCAATGGATCTCGATTAAATTTGGCACCGATCATAGTCTTACTATGTTTTTTTTTAATTCCGCGCAGCCGCAGTGTGGTTGACTAAAGCCTTCATCTCTAACTCAGGGTAACCTCGAGTCCTTCGGTTGGGACGTATATGAACTGACGGACATACACAGGTTTAGGAATCCAACAATGTCTATAAAGGTGTATTGTAACTTAATTTAAATTAACTTCGTATCACTTACATAGCGGTCAGTACAACTTAAAGCAACCTTCACGCTCGGTAACATGTTCGAAGACCTGTGTAATCTGAATTCAACCGCAGATATTAGGGTTGTCGACTGATTAGAAATAATACAGTATTGCCGATTATATCATTATGTTGCGAATACAACAAGGATTATTAGCCGGACGCAATCGATAATTTCACTCAATCACTACTATCTTTTGTTATATCAAATGACTTAACCGTTGATTTCTCTGGTCAAGGTCTGATCATGTCCTCATACATTTCATTATTTTTGAGAAAACAGAGATAATATGTTTTAAACGGAGATTTAGGTCCCTTAAACCCACGATAAGTCTGTCGGTCACACACCACTTTCCCTTAGAATGGAAATATAATTTATTTAAAAGTTTATTTACTGTCGGTTAAGTAGCAACCCTAGCAAAAATAATTAACTAGTTTAGTACTCAAAACGTTGACTTACGGCACTGGATGTTATCTCAGAGATATAATAATTCTTGACACCCTGACGTAGCGCGCCCACGTGACGAATTGAACAATTGCCTTTAACTAAGACAATTGTAGGCCAGTATGCAAATAAAATTCTGGCACACGATTTCACTATGAAGGTCCGTATAGTAAGTGAGCTTTTCCGTTGAAAGGCTGAAAAAGAATATTATTTTATTATAATTTATTTTCTACCTAAAGTATTTAATTCAATACATACATATCTCTAACTATAAACTAATATTTAAACACTCGGAACTAACTTAGTTCTTACTATACGTGTTTTTAAAACGAAGGTTTCTCAAATTAAAGTGACATTTTGGCTTTAAAAATCTGCTTGTAGCAAAAAAAATCTGGAATGATTTTTGTGACATACTGTATATTTGGTGATGAAACTATCGTATTGCAGACTGGACGATTGGACTTCAATGCGAGCCGCGTGACTGGTCACAAGGGTCCAGTCCTCGACATCAAGTGGAATCCCTTCAATGATAATGTCATCGCATCCTGTTCTGATGACTGCACGGTAAGATACTGGTTACTTTACCAATAAAAATTTCCATCTCCTACCATGTTATAGCTACCACAGGAGTAGTATCTTTAAAGTAGTCTAATATATTTTCTCTCTTAGGGACAATTTTTTTTTGCAAATTAAATGATAAATCACTCATTAAAAATCTTAAACATTTATTTTTCGAACTTCTGTATAAAACAACATGCTGTATATCACTTAATGTGATGTAAAATTGTTTATAACCGCAATATATGTAAATTACTTATTTACATACTTATATCCGTATAATACATGCTAAATGAAAGTATTATAAGAAAAACAAATACTTTCATTTGGCATGTTTATTCCGATACGTTGTTGCAATTACTCATCATGAATAGGATATCCCACGATAACTTTAACCAACATTGGAGTAATATGATTTTAAAGTCTTAGAAATTAAGGATTAGGTCTTAGGATATCATTTCTGAAGGGACGAAACATTGAAACTGTAAAATTTTTGACAGACGTCATTGATTATTTAATTTTTCCACACAACGTTTTATTATAAGTTAATTTACTAAAAACATAATAAACTTGTTATTCATTCGTATCGTTTATAAATGTCTCGATACTGTTTGACAAACACTTTCACTTTGAACACCTAACAATTGTCGATACGTAACTCTATTGTTTTCATAAAAATTTTTATCACACCAGTCACCGGTTGCTACCTGTCTTTGAACATTTTTATTAGTAGGTACACTTTTATGTCTAACAGCGAACAAAAACTCTAAGCCCCCCATTCGCATGGGCTGTTTTCAATCGATATGAAAATCGTTCAAAATGAACAAATGTATTTTCAAATATCTGTTTGGCAACGCTTTAAAAATGCGAAGCTTTCATAACGTGTTCTATGGTTCTATTTGAACACTTTATCTCGAGATATAAAAGCACCCGTGTGAAAGGGCTAAAGTTTGTAAATTCTTGTAAATACCAAAAATAATGCAGTATTTACTAATGTCACGTATAAAAATTATGCTATCTTGAGTTATTTTTACTTATAATTACAATTAATGCTTGACCACGATATACGATGAGATGAAGTGGTTGAAACATGATAAGCGCTAACTTAACCCATGCTATTTTATAAAATCAATGTACTTGTTTACTTAGTTAATAGCAGTATAATTTCATTGTGTTTTAATAAGGTAAATTTGTCATAAAGACGGATTACCCGAGGTTAGTTTGGTGTTGATATAGGGCCCAGTAAAGTTGGCGCCGGCTGACTCAAGGTTGTACAAACTTTACTAGCTTATTACATAAATATTGGGTTAAGGAGGGATGTTTAGCTGTTGTACCTTTTATAACACATTTTGTTAAATATTCCCTCAGAATAATAGGAAAAATTTATAAAAGTCTTTCTACAGGGCTCTAACCTATTTTAATTTAGGGATAATATAGTTGGCACTGAACTCGTTTAAGTAGGTGGCGCTAGCGTCAAGAGTGAGATCTGTCAAATTTTTATACGTCATTCTAGCGATTAAAATCTGTTCCTTTTCCCCTTTTTTTGTTATAAATAATTTACGAAATATCTTTTGGTTTGACCACAGTTCACTCTTTTTTTCATTGGATCTGCATACTTAATTGTATATTTATGTTTTCCAGGTGAAGCTATGGCACATTCCGGACGGCGGGCTGTCAATGCATCTGACAGACTGGCTGGTGGAGCTGCAAGGACACAAGCGACGTGTCGCCTACATCGAGTGGCATCCCACCGCTGAGAATATACTACTCAGTGCTGGATTCGATTATTTGGTTAGTGGATACTTCATAGACAAATAAAACGTGACTGACTGTACCACTTGGCTACTATATTTGAATAGAAAAGGAAGTTTTAAAAATTCATTAATAGATTAAGCTACAGAACCCAATGGAAGGAAAGTACCCCATAGTCAGGAAAATATTCATCCTTGGTATGATAAAATCTTACTAATCTTACTTCTTACTAATTTATAAATGCGAATTGGATGGATGAATGGATGTTTGTTTGAAGGTATCACCGGAACGGCTAAACGGATCTTGGTGACATTTGGCACAAATGTAGAATGTAGTCTGGAAGAACACATAGGCTACTATTTACGTTTTTTTAATACCGCGCAGACGGAGTCGCGGGCGACAGCTAGTTTTTACAATAAATCCTTCTAGTTCGTATTATGATTGTCTAGTACATAAAAGAATAATTCTTAACTAAAATAATAAATAATTTTTTCAATATTTTTATATTAAAGCCCTAAATTTTAATATTGTTATCGTGGAAATATAAATAGAGTAGCCTGATAAACATGAATCAGCAAAATTCCTTTCAAAATCGTTCAAGTAGTTCCGGAATTTTCTTTGTAAACAGATGGACGGAATTGTATTTGCAAACAGACAAAAATTAAAAAAAAAATAGTTTTTCGTTATCAGCAATCCAAATACATCATCTGCACGATACAGACAATCCAATTTTATTAATATGTATAATATTTGATATGTGGATCAAACTACACACATGTCACATTTAATGTAAAAAGACGTTTAATGTACATGAACACGCGAGATTAATTGTCCGTTTGTAAATCGACTTGATCGCGTGATGTGACTCACATTAACTGGTCGTTGTACAGTTAACCGCTATTCAACATTTCATTTATAAAGTGTTTATAGTTTTCAGCTATTTTCATGATATTATATAATGTTTATTCCCAGACTTACGAAAAAACCATCCTTATTTACTTCCTGACTATAAAAATTAAAAAAAAAAACACTATGCTATACTTTGGCATTTCAAATTTGAGCAACTGGAGGGACTTCGCCTGTTCCTGCATATAACTATTATAATAAAAACATTTTTCCACTAAGAATACGTGCTAGTGGAAATATAGTTAGAGTATGATATGTTTTTGTTCCAGATAATGGTGTGGGATGTGGGCAAGGGGCTGGCAGTGAAAGTGATATCGTGTCATAGCGACGTGATCTACTGCATGTCTTTCAACCGGGACGGTTCTCTCCTCGCTACCACTTGCAAGGATAAGAAACTGCGGGTCATCGAGCCACGTCGCGGCATCGTCCTCTCTGTTAGTAACACCAGCTACATGCCGTTCATTTCTGAAACAAAAACTTCTGTATGAAGTATATCGTCGTCTCTGTCACTATCTTCCGCTAAACAGAGATAACAATATTTTATAAAAAAAGGGATTTTGATCTCAGCAACCCACGGTTAATCGCTCATCCCATAGAACAATGACTTAACTCCGATTTAGCTATTTTTCAGTAAAACGTTTTGAAAGTTTTAACTTAAGAATGTATTAGTATGTAGATTTTTAAAATATTTACATATATTCTACTAGCAACAATAAATTTATGTAATCCATATAACGTTCGAAAATCAATTTATGACATTAAAAAGTCATTTTTATTTATTTGATATTTAAGTCGTTGTTCTATTGGAGGAGCGATATATTCACCTCAGCCGGCTTTGTTTTATCTGTGTAAAAAGCCTACTAACCGTAAGATAGGTCGAAACAAAGGCATTACTATCATAATATATGCTTTATATGATTAAGATGAATTTATTTAAGAAATCAAACTTGACTCTTATTAAAACTATAACTCGTGTGTCTGATATAAAAAACTAAAGAAGAAAGTGTAGCTTACTTTACTGTGAAGTTATGGCATTTTATAATATTATTTATAAAATAATTTGGTGTTTGTTAATACAAGTGATATTCCAGGAGGGTCAATGTCACATGGGTACGAAAGCTTCCAAGTGCACTTTCGTGGGGTCTGGTCGTGTGCTGACTACCGGCTTCTCACGACACAGCGACCGCCAGTACGCGCTGTGGGACCAGCACGACCTCAGTGCGCCCCTCGTCACTGACACTATCGACAGCTCCTCCGGTGTCGTCTTCCCTTACTACGATTATGATACCAATATGGTCAGTTTTTTTTTATTATAATAAATTGGAAAACAACCAATCGGACTGCTGTTCATAAAAAATGTTCTATATTTCACACGAGGACCGAAAAGTGAGGTACTATACTGTATTGTCCTACTGCACTCTCTCGCTCCTCTTCTGTGATACTAGCTAGCATTAGGGTTAGTGCCCAACTGCTGTCAGTTACTAAAAAAAATAAAACCCTGGGGTGTTAATTTTGCAATATCTTACTGTTGCTTAAATGAAACAATTTTTATTCAATTTTTGTTCTGTCATCTTTCCCGGACTTATGTTAATTTTCGTTGTTATTTTTAGGTGTACTTAGCGGGTAAAGGTGACGGCAACATCAGGTACTACGAGGTGGTAGATGAAGCGCCTTACGTGCACTTCCTCAATCAGTTCTTATCGGGGAATCCACAGGTAATGGAACATTAAATTATTATTTTAGACAATAGAAAATTATTACTTTATTATTATCGATGTCAAATATCAACTGCGATCTTTAAGGAAATACATTACAATTTAGACTTACCGTTGATTTTCAAGACCAAAGTCTCTGTAAAAACATATCGTCATCCTTGTTATTATCTTTGACTAACAGAGGTAACAATGTCTTAAACTGTGATTTTGGTCTTAGAAATCCACCATTAATGTGTTTTTATGTGTATTTGTTTGTTAGCGTGGTCTAGGCTACATGCCGAAGCGCGGCGTGAACACGGCGGCGTGCGAGGTGTTCCGCTTCTACAAGCTGCATACTTCACGCGGCCTCTGCGAGCCCATCTCCATGATCGTGCCGCGCAAGTCTGACTGTTTCCAGGTAAATACGTATACGTATCATTTACACAAACATTCTGGGATAATAGTCGAAAGAATTAAAACCGCTTCCCACTGTGAAACTATAATTTGCACTATGTAAATTGCTATGATAAGTTAACAACCTAGTAGCATTGTGAACGGCAAATTACTTCACCCGGGTAGGAAATTAAACACCTCGACTGTAAAGTGCTACCAGAATAACAAGAAAGAAGTTGTTATACCATATACTGATAGACTAAGGAATAACATCATAATCTCATAAATATTGTGAAATATTGACATATAAATACATCTGCGTGATTAGCAACGTGTCTTGAGAGATTTTTCTTCAATAAGTATTTAATACTGTATAATGTATTGCAGGAGGACTTGTACCCGGACACTGCGGCGCCATTGCCCGCTCTTAGCGCCAAGGACTGGCTGAGTGGCATGAACGCGCCGCCACTACTCATCAGCATGAAAACTGGTTAGCACCACATTTGTAGTATTTCGCTCGTAAGAGTGTGGTGTATTCGGCCTACGAAAGATGGCGCTTTTTCTTATGCTTAAATTATACTAAGGAATTTCTTAAATGATATGATGTGTCAGGTGTGACAATATCAACGCACAAGCCGCGCACGAGCAGCGCGGAAGCACCAGCGCTGCAGCCGCAGGATGCCAACAACCGAAAGAAGTTCGCCTTCCTGTCACGTGAGACCACGCCCGACTACCGCCCGCTCGCCACCTGGCAGCCGCGCGAACCTCTTGCCAACATCACACACAATAACGATAATGATGTACGTATTTGTAAGGCGAATCCCTTGATTTTAGTAATAGTAGCAGGCCATAATAAGACTAAAATATATAAACAAATAATTTTATTTCCTACATTAAGATTAGACTTCTCAGAAAACAATTTTTGAAATGTCTAATAAAAGATTTTATATAGGATGATAACATTTTCAAAGAAAGTGCAGAAAACGCTACGAAAACCAAGCCAATCAATGTCATTGGACATTGGTGTATAGTTAGAATTCATGGTTAAACTTGAACATTGAAATTTAGAATATGTAAATTATAAATGTAGATAATTGTCATTTACGAAGTATGTTAATTTAATCGTGTTGTGATCAAGGTGGGTATAAACGAGAAGTCGCAGAAGACTAACGCCAACCAGACGACCAAGTTCCACCAACTGCAGAAGATGTTTGGCAAACAGGCGGGCGACGCCGAACCCGTGCCTCTCTACAAGCAAATCAACCAGGGCGACGTCTTCACCACCGAGCACGAGGTACGTCAATCACCATATTTTATAATAATCGAATCCTGAATTAATATGTACATTAACAAGTGAATAAAAAAATTATTTCTCAGAAAACCGCAGGGGTGAAGTTAGTCTTATTATTTTTTTTAATCTAAACAAGGCTTATTTGTGTTCCAGCTGCGAGTGGCGTTCAATCGTCAGGGCGAGGAGCTGCGTGTGGCGCGCCGGCAGCTGCAGCACAGCCAGCAACGCGTGCGCGAGCTCGAGCAGCTGCTGGCAGCGCTGCAGTCACGCCTCGCGCAGTAAACCACCAGCAGCTGCTGGCCGTCGTCACCACACGCACCGCAACCGCACAGGGCTCAGATTGTTCACTAAATATGTTGATACATAGATCTTGATAGGATGGTGTTGTGCGATAACGTTAACAAAGGTCGTTGTCACAATAGAAAGATATGCAATATGGTCATAACAAAAGGATGGTGTTATGCAAAAAGGTCAGCAGAGGTCATAACAAAAGGATGGTGTTATGCAAAAAGGACAGCAGAGGTCGTAACTTTAGAATGGTATTATGCAATATAATAAGCAAAGTTTGACCTCTAACATCTTTGTTTTATCTTGAAAGATGATGTTATTCAATAAGAATGCAACATTTTATTGATGAACTTTATTACACAAGATATTGTATACTTATTCTTACTTAAATCATTGTTTACGTCACTGCTAAATCTGTTGTCGAGACTTGAAGTATTACTCGGAGACCTCTAACTTTTAAATATATACATTCATTATCAATATAACTATGTATATATATATATTTAGTGAACATATAATATTGAGCAAACAGCGGTAGATGAGTGCATTGTAATTCTAAATGCATTCCTTGCATGTGTACCAGTGATCTATAAAGCTAAGAGTACCAAATGTACTGAAATTTTAATATTATTAAGCTTTGGCACAAGTTAAACTGTCGCATTCGGAAACTGATTACTTTATCCGTATTTTAGTACATTTATTTTACTTTAAGAGGCTCCCTTAAAGATTGTGTACGACTCTGAGTGTGGCAGTGTGTCTCAATAAGCTTGATATATATTTATATGATAAGAAATCTTTGCTACGCTTGATGCATATATGGCTTATATGCGGTTTTCAATAATAATCATGTTTTATTATATATATATATATAAGTGATCTTTGGTTATGTATTTTATATTGTATACAATTGATTACATTTTAAATAATTTTATGATTAATTTCACAATTAATTTTAATTCGGCAGTAATTTAATTAAACTTTCATTTTCTTGTTTATAATGTTAGAAATACAATTTGTATGATTTATGAAGAAAACTAAAGGGTCAGGTCAGACATACTTCGGTGGTGAGCAAAGCTGAATTTTTATCACAAATAAAATTCAGCTCTATCATATTAGAACAAGGTTTTATTTTACTATTCACGTCTTACATGTCTTACAATAGCTTAATGGTTAAGGGTACGGATCTTCGATCACGAGGTCGGGTGTTCGAATCCCGCCATTTGACTACTGTCGTAAACCATATCCTAGCACAAGCCTAGAGCTTAGTTGGAATGGTGAAAGAAATATTAGTAAATTTACAAAAAATCTACTAATATTTTATATTATAAAAAAAAATCATAAAAAGCTTAATTTTATGTGCAGTAAAAATCTTCTCTGCTCTTCGACCCAATCTGTTTGAATGAACCCATAGGGCCTAGAAATAGGGCCATAATGGATTTTAAAAATAGATTTCAATCAGTACTTAGCGATAACAAATCTTCTAAGTATTTCTCTTATTTTGGAAGCATATTTATCATGAGTAAATTAAACATTCCAAAAAAATTATTCCAATAAAAATTATTTTACTCCAACTTAATTATTTTTTTAGATATGTACTATTATTTTGAATGAGCCAAATTATATAAACAGTATTAAATAAATTATATATATATTCATAATTCATAAGGAATCAATTGGGAATCATTCTAAAATTTTAATAATTCTTTGTGCAAAAATATTCATTTTCTTTGACAATTTCTTTCCATGACAAATATTATTTTCTCCACTGGCATCTTTAGTTGGTAGCTTTTGTGATTACATTCGTGATTTTAAGGCCTAGTTTTGTCTAAATATTTACTAAGTTTAGGTTAATTTGCATTTTCTTTAGCTATCGGAATGCCTTAAAATAAGATGGCTTGGTCGTTCCAAGCTTTATATTTAAGTACATGCAAAATGTATTCTTTCATACTCTGAGATGCGAAGCTATCTTTAGAGTGTATAACACAAGAAATGTACTGAAATATACAACAATAGTTGTATACATTAGTAGTTGTATACAACAAGAGTTGTGTATATGATCGAAATTTAAAACACAAAATGAATTCTTGGCATTTTTGTGTCTTTAAAAAATGATGTACTGCTAATCTAAGATTATTTTAATTAAGTAATAATTTCATTTATTCATAGTTATATTGTGCAATGAATATTAAGGCATTTGTCTTATGATTTTGTGATGTTTTATTATTCCCAGTATCACTGTTTCTTGTGCACAAAAATATTGTTTGCTTTATTTTTAAGTTTGACTTTGTTAGTGATTTGTTTTTAATCTTTTTAAGTCTGATTTATTTTAGTATTGTTCCTTTAATGTACATTAGTTTTGTATGTCTTTATTATTGGAGCTTTTACTTTGTTATCATAGAAAAAATACGAAAAACATTTAAGAAAATTCTGATTTAATTTGATATGAACGACAGTAAACCAAACCAGTGCCAGACATGTTTCAAACTGAAAAATATGTACAAAAAGGTTACCTGAACTTTTTGTATGCCGGATATTTTTTTAAGCTATAGAAATACAAGCTAGATAAAAATATTTAGGTGCTAGATGCTTACACATGTGAACTTCTTTATACCACTGATGACAAATTATTCTATTATTGTAAAAAGATTGCATGCAAGTACAGTCAGCGAGAAAAGGAACAACAATTTTCAAAATGCATGATATCATTTTTTTAAACTTTTACGATTGATGATGTTATAAATGTTTAAATAATTTGTAATATTGTAGAATTATATGTAAAGTAAATTACCATAAAATTCTTAGGTGTGTCCATTTGTAATTTCCACAATTTGGCTAATGTTATTTGTACCTGTTTATTATTGTAGCTGACTGTACTAGTGTAATGCGTCACCTGACATTCCATTGTTCTGGACAAAAGCAACGACTAGTGTAAGTTACGTTAAGACAAAAGTATTATTGCATAATAGCTGGTTTAATTCAGTTCTTGGCTAAGTCGACGTTAATATTTATTGTGTATTTTTATATAAAGCTTGTGTAGCACAAATTTTCAATAAATGTTTGAACATTTTACTTTAGTTTTTTTGATATTACATGTAAATTTCAACTCTTAATGCCACCGATGTGTTTATCATAAGTTACATACAAAATAAGATTTCTTATAATTTATAAATGCGAATGTCTAGATGGATGGTTTGTTTGAAGGTATCTCTTCAATAGCTTAACGGATCTCAACGAAATGGTATACACATAAAACAGTCTGGAAGAACACATAGGCTACTAATTATTTTTTTTTAATTCCGACCGCTAGTGTAGAAATAAAACAACTTTTTTTAATACAAAATTGTATTAAAGGTTTATAATACGATATAAAAATTGGTAATGCCAATAAATGCACACGTGGACGAACACAGAAGTATCATTACACACAACATGTAGAAAATAAATGTTATCTATGAGTTTCCACTGGTGTATTACAAAAACTTTTTTTTGTTCTATTAGAAATAATAGATTACAGTGGTTTTTGTAAAATGTTTTGGCTGTGAAGACTCAGGGTTAAACATGTGGAATGATACACGGCAGAGTTGCTTGAAGTAATCCAAAAATACTTTGGGTTTCATTCATTAGAATAAAATAAGCTAGTCTAAACTCATACATTTCACCTCTGCTTTATCAATGTTTCATAATAATGTTTACTCTGGCGATGTTAAAATTATAAATAAATTAATACATAAAAATGTCTTTTGATGTAAATATAAAAAATATATGTTAATTTGGACGGACAATCTTAAAATTAATAATAAGACTTAAAAAATATGTACAAAATTATCATTTGTCTTACATTACAGAGAATTAAGTGGAATGATTGATTGAAATATACAAAATATATTTTTAAGAGATTAATAATCAGTCTGGATGTAAATTCTAAACTAAGTCGGAGGTAGCCGCAACACAAATGTCAAAATGTCACATTATGTGCACATAAATGAAATAAATAAGAAAATAAGTAATGTCATGGATATTTTCAGAGCTGCAGCTGAGTTACATCCATCACTGCTGCAAGTATAGATACATGTCCTGTATTCCAATTTGTCCCCGGGCTGTGCAACATAGTTACAATAATTGCCCAAATCCAATGATGAACAGAATCTTTTTGTGCTAATCCCACCTGAAACATTATTAAACAGACTAAATAATTGTAAACAGTTTATTTCCGATTAATTGATTGGTTAATTCAGACTTTATAGCTCTGAGATAAATTGTGCAGCATAGAAAACATAATTTTAAGTTTTGCATAAAGCATGGGGTTCATCTGACCGAAAATGTGTCAAGAAAACAGTAAAAATCAAATGAATCTGATCAACATATGTTTAAATGTGTTCATTCCCTCACTTCAATGATTATTTCCGACTTGCTAGTAAGTTTGAATCAACCAATAACATGCAGTGAAAACTTACCATTATAGTATAGTGCCCAGTGCTCAAAAAATCACCAAATTGATGGATTAATAGTGGAGTAACAATATCAAAGGTTATATATTCCGAACTCCTATTTACACCCATTAATTACCACACACCAGTATAATTATATATTATTTTACATAAATAATTTAAATAGTTACACCCTCACACATAAAAAAAATTATCCAATAAAATTGTGTGTAGTGTATATTCTGTGCATAAAAAATCTATTGTAATAAAAAGCTTTGTGCATTTTTATTTGCAATGAATATTCAAGCTTATTCATGTTATTATTAGTAAGAACCTGACTGCTTAATGCAATATTGAGCATTGTAAACATGATGACAAGGAGTTGGCTTCAGGTATCCTCCATCTAAGTTAATGAGACCATCACCACATTCCAAAGTGTTAGAGGAATTACACTGGAAACATTCTATTGCTAAACCTAGATTAAAAATAAGGGATTAGTACAAAAATCTTTGTCTAGAAAATACCTATTCAGAATAATACATTAATGTCCGTGAACTTGATGTTACTGCGAACTTTGAATATGTCATTAAAACTTTTAAAAAATTGAAAAAAAGTTAAAACTATATTGGAATTTATCAACTTTTACTTTACTAGGTACCAATCTCTGTTATATATGCAATGAAATCTATATGTAAATTAAACGGTAAGTAATATAGTTTGATCAATTATAGCCATGCTTAGATTAGTATTGTTCTTTACACAATCTGCTAAGAGTCAAATACAAATATTTTGTTAAACTTTTTACTTAAATATTTTGTTAAGATTTTGTTTAGCTTGTTAGTTATTTAAAAATGTTAGTATACCAGAGACCCAGACCATTTGCATGTTTGTCTCACCTTCGAATCTACCGACATGCTTGATGCAATATTGAGCATCATGAATGGTCGCACAATCGGTCGCTACTATATCTGTATCGCTATCTAAGAACTCATTACATTCGAAAGGGTTCTCTGAATCGGTCCCTGAACACTGGTAGCAATTTATCGAATCAACTAAAATAAGAAACAACGTTAAAATTTGTAAACTTTTAGGGCGTTACCGTGTTGACAACTGTTTCTTACCTGATCTTATCGTAACAAAGAATATCGAAGATATGAAAAGTATTTTACTTTTAAACTGCATTGTTAATTTAAATACTTATTTCACTTATTAGACTCACATTCGAATACTTGAATACAAATGAAATAGGGGCAATTTAAACATGAAAACAGTCAGTTAACAATTTATACACACTCAAATTTGGTGACAGTGACAGTTGGTGTTAGTCATAGAGTAGATGTTAGCAAGATCAAGTCAAAAGTATATAAAATAACAGATATACACAAAACACTTTAAACACATAGTACTCTGTGGACTGTAGTAGTAGAATGACTTCCGTCAATTTTCACTACAATAAAAGATTCAAAAATATTTTTTTTTATTTTATAGTTAATAAATTAAACTAAAATCGCTTTTTTTCAACTATTGATGCATTGCGGCTTAGGAGCAATTTTTTTACCTCCGGCACAGTCAATAAGGAAATTAGGAATATATTTTTAATTTTTATTTAAATAATGAAAACGTACAAAATTTATATAGATTACAGATAACAGTTGACTCTTGGCACTAACGTCGTCATTTTCAGTTTTTCTTCCCATTATAATAATGATTAACAGAAAATAAAACAATACGCCATGATTTTTATTATTTTATATTTAAATTCTTCCAAATTTTATTTATTTATCATTAAATTACATATCTAAGTATATAAAAATTATATAAAATAAAACAAAAAATTATCTCAATGTTATGTAATGTTAAGTAGATTCAAATATATTTATTTTATTTTACATGCTATGGACGTTTTGCTTACTTTAATAATAAAGTCATAAATATCGCAAATCCAGTATACACAAACATCTTACAAAATATATAAACACACTTTTCTTAGTTAGTAATTAAGAAAATGTACCCTATCCAAAAATCACATTTTGCATGAGCAGAAACTTACAGACTCATGAGACCTTAATTTGTACATTATTACTCTATTTTAAATGCGTTAACTTACGTAGTTATTTCTAATTAAATTTATAGGCAGTACAAATAAACAAGGAAACAAATATTATTGTCAGTAGAACATATGTTAATTTTATATTTCAACATTTTTATAGAAGGAATGTATGAAGATAAAGTGGATGGATGGCATTGATTTAAATGTAAACTAGTTATTTAAATATAAGTCAGTTACGTCACGCATTTTATTATAGACCACATGCGAAGTCAACGAATAATCTTAAAAAAAATAAAAGAGCCATAATTTCTTAATTCTTATAAAAATTTTAGAGTATTTTGCATGATCACTTTGCTTGGTTTAACAATTGGAATGTATAGGAAGTTATTTACATAACAAAATATAAATATAAAAAGATATTAAAGCAAGCCCAGCCCATAAATTGGGTGTTATTAATGAACAAACACAACATCGTGTATGTAATGTAGAATTTTTTTGAAGAAATGTAACATCAGTCGTAGACACTTGGATGTAGTCGTTGGCTCAAAGATTGGCACAATGGTCTGACCTTACTATGACCAGGAAATGTATTTTTTATATGAAAATGTGGCAAACGAACAAACAACCGCTTGAATTCGCCGAAATGATAATGGGAATGGTTCAATATGAGTATCGCAGTAGGTACGATGTTGGCTAGTTGTTGAGTTGCGGGCGGAGGGGTAAGGAGCCTTCCACCCAGAAGTTGGGGCGCTGCATCATGGTCTGCCACAGGGTCACCTCCTTGCCCACGCTGTCCATCCAGTTCACGCTCGCTCCCATATATGTACCTGTAAATTAATATTATTATTAACTTTTTTTACGATTTAGATTATATACAAAATTTTATTTTTTTGTAACGAACAATTTTTATTGCCTTAAAAACCATCTACATATTTATGGGCTGTAAACGGCTTTGAAATTGAAATATTCAAAAGGGGCACTGTTGGAACTCATGGAACTCTAAATATATAGGCATATTTGAAAATATTGTGTAATTGATATCTGACCGGTGCCGAGCGAGAGTCTGACGGCGCCCATGAAGTCGTTGGAGGCGAGGCGGTCTCTGTCCCACAGACTGAGCTCGAGCGCGCGCCCGGCCAGCTCGGCGGGGGAGAGGCCGCGGTACGTGAACGTGTGCTCCCAGCGCGGGCTCAGCGTGCGCCGCGACACGCCCGTCTTCTGCTTCGCCAGCCGACCGCGCTCCGGCAGCAGGTAGCTGTACACATGATACATACATACATTTAGTACTTGTTATATTTATCTTTTTCTTATTTTTAAAATATACATTCAAGGTTATGTCCGAGACTAACTTACGAATGACGACTGATGGATGTTACTCTTGTTTGGAATATATCAAGTTGTAATTCACGAATCTGTTGTCCAACAAGACAGCGACAAGTCTCTCACAAGGGCCGAGAAGTTTAAATACCTATTGACTTTGGCCAAAGTGGGCATTGTCGTAATTTACTTGCGATAGTACCTTTTACAGAAGACATCGGCGAGTCCGTTGGGTTTAGTGGCGACGAGGTTCTTGGCCTCCTTGACGAGAACGTGCAGCGTGCCCTTGCCGCGTCCGTCACACTCGAACTTCAGTCCGATGATTAGGTCGCCGCGGCTGCCTTGCTGCTCCTCAAATTGTTCCGTCTGTAAATACATACAAATAGGATTCTTTAATATGAACATCGTAGTCAGTTCTTTACGATTTACATCGTAGAAGTATTCAAGTGTGAAGTCAGGTTAAGGATGCATTACATGGGTTGTATGTTGTGTGTACTGACCCGTTCATGCAACTTGTACCACGTGGGCGCGGGGTCGTCGAAGACGACGTCGGCCAGTGGCAGAGTGACCTCGCCGAGGAAGTCGTTGCGGCCGAAGATGTCGGCGTGCCACACGCTCAGCCACAGTGTCCGCGCGGACAGCGCGGCCAGCGGCTGCACGAAGCTCAGAGTCTCTTCGAACACGGGGCTCAGTGTGTTCTTCTTCACCTTCGTCTTGCGCTTGCCGGTCTTTGACTTGTCTGGCAACAAGTATACCTGCGAAACATAACAATATTATTTACTAGAGATTGGAAAGGTTAGTGCGTGACTTGGATACCTTCATGAGTTATGACCGCGCTATTTAAAATAGTATATGAATGTGGTTGAGTTCTCGTTTATTAGTTAAAATCATTGCATATTACCTTGACGTAAGGATCAGAACGGTTGCGCTTGGTGTCGACGGGCGCGAGGTCTCGCGCGCGACGTACGCCCACCTCGAGCGCACCCAGCCGGTAGTTGTAGAGCAGCGAGAATTGCACCTCCCCGCGCACAGCCACACCGCCGCGCGCGCCTTCACCAGCACCCGAATACACAGACGCCATGGACTCCGACCGCGCCTAAACACATACATAAATACAATTATGGAACGACACAGAAAAACACAAACTTATGTACAAAAGAAATATTAATCAAAGAAAAATAATTTAGACATATTGTGTTATAAAGAAAAGTAAGACATAATTTTATTTTTATTGCTGAATAGTCCATGGTTAGCATAGACATTTGTCTAATTCTTAAAATATTTGGTTATCTGTGGAAGTATTACAAATATTATAATTCGTACCGTAAATAGCGATTAACGGTGTAGTAATTTCATATCTGTTGTAAACACAATAGATTCGTAAACAATGAACTTCCTTGTTACAAACGCAGAACACAGAAACATTAACTTTTTAAAACTAATATAACAAAGGGCACAACAAGTTACGACCACATTTTATCCCGCTCTCTCGTCCATGACTGGATACTGGGTAACGCGTTAATGAAACCTAAGTCCTGCGTTTGTTCGCATTATCTCCCGACATACGATACGTCACCGCAATGCCAGACGGTGCACCATACACACAACAGTGTTTGTTCTCATTACCTTAAATTGAAAGTCACGTAAACGATTTAAAAGTAGTTTTATGTGACACGTGAACGGGGTTTAGAAAATATTCTTTTCCTTTTAACTGTTGTGTTTCATTTTTATTAAGAAAAAAGCGAACAATTCAATGGTTGAAAGGAACAGTGGTTATGTTGTTTATATGCAACGAGGATAAAAATAGTTTTTTTTTCTGATAATTATTTTTAAATTCAATGGAAATCAATATTTAAGGTACTTTTCTCTGTTGTAACGAATGATTCATAATATGTGTAGAACATAAAATTAACATATTCACCAACATTTTTGTATATAAATGTCCCATAAATAAAATAAGAAGAGATCCCAAGTTCTTTTAGGTACCTTTTCGTAAAAAAACGAGTTGTTTTAATGGAATTTTGTGATTTTGAAATAGATAAATTTGTAGTTATATCAACCCAAGGTTTTTATATATTTTATTTCAGTTATAAACAGTTTTGCTTATTCTTCTTACTGTAAATCTATCAAAACGTTTAAGTGCTGTGGTTGTTATTATAGCTTTATTTCTTATGTACAATTAGGTTCAATTAACAAGGTTTTATTGCCAATTACAGGTCAACCTCGGCGCTACAGAATACTCTAGTTTTAAATTCGAGTGACCGCATATGGTATTGCACAATGTACATCGTCTCTGCCCACACTGTAGCTATAAAAGGGATTAATGTTACATTTCGGATAAAGTCCGGCGTTATCGGCCTACGTTAAACCTTCTCATTATGTTAATTATTCTTGTTTGGTTTATTTTAGCTTTTTATAGCGATTGTAGTAAGCCTCCAAATTACTCGACAATCTTCGATCTCTGGTAAATTATTATCAAAGATTTTTTGGTTATATAAAAGATCTTACGAACCCTATGTTTTTCTTTAAACAGCCCAATTCGTTATACCGATTTTAACGTGCAGTTTTTGTGTTAGTAATGTTAATAAAGTTATTGACAAAAAGTGTCGTGTGCGTCAGTTAAAATTGAGTGCAAGCGTTTTGCAAAATCTGGTTCGCAGGCGTTTCGCAAGCTGGCGCTCGTAACAGCACAATGGCCGCCGCGTGGCCCCTGAGACAATACCCGCTCGGTTACACTACAACGCTTTTAAATACTAATCTTTGAATAAACCGTTTTACTATCAACATTTTTTATTCTATAATGCATTTGCTTCTACAAAGTAGACATTAAAAGATCAATTCAGGAGTTTTTGTGTGTTCGAATCTCATTTTCCTCTTTAGTGTGTCGTATTATAATATAAATTTGGTTTTAGTCAATAAATAGACAAGGTTTTACCTGTAAACAAATAAATCTTTCTCACGAAATTAGGCAAGGTTCAAATAGATTCCAAGAATTAGCCTTAACAGCTTAATAAATAGTTTCATTTTTATGTTGAAAACAATAGTCTGTAGTCTAGTCTTTTTTAAATAGAATGGAATACATTCAACTGATCATCTTCGTTGTTGAACCCTAATTGATACGACTAATCGAATCGTGCGAAAAGAATTGCATCTTATGAGATGTAACTGTCACATGAGTCGTAATGTCAAAAAATTGTTACCTGTAGACCACTCCTGTTGATCGGGAAGCGGTCAGTGTCGTGAGGTAGTGGCGAGCTGGACCGGCGAGGTAGCGTCGCCGTACCTGAAGATAGCGTCGCATTATCTGATAGGTACACCTCATCTGTAGACAAGAAAACATGGTTTATTGAATGGTGTGCAAATTCATTGTAAAACATGGATATATCTGGCTGTGTATAGCCAGAAATATCTGGTAAAAAAATATCGTCATATAAATTTCGAGGTAAACAAATTGTATGAACATCGCTAAAATTACATTTATAAACCCAACAACAGTTGACTTATTCGTTTCAAAATAAGATTTAGTTCAAAAAAAGAGAGATGAAGGAGGATGATAGTAAATGAAGATTCTGGCTCTCATCAGATGAAACAGGATTACATCTGTTTGATCACGTAAAAATTGTTGTAATTTTAGTCAAAATTTTTAGACCAAATCGGAGCTTAATATAACATTATTTGTGAAATGAACAAAATCATGTTTTACCACTTTAAACTTTGAATAGATTCCTAAAAATAACACAGGACTAAAATTGTTTATTCATCTTAAAATAAGCATATTGAATAAAATATGCTGTAGGAGACTCTGATAATATCTTGAATAATTTCAAATCATCTTAGTGACTAAAGTCAACATTCAAGGTGACCTAATCAAATATATATGTGTTTTACATAACTAACAAAAATATTATATTTTCTAACACTATAAAAATAAATGAAGCTGTTATATAATGCATGATAACACAAAATAAAATTTATAGAATTTGATAAAGTGCTATCATAACTTAACATCGTACGCAATAGATTTTACTAGAGGTAACAAATAAAATATTAGTAAATTAATTAAGCACTACAAAGAACGTAGTCCAGTGCTATATAGTTTAGCATTGAATAATTTGCAAATTAATATGTTACTAAAAATAATTTAAATTGGGTGCGAGTGTGCATAAAAACACAGAGAAAGGTTTTGGCAGTGTGCCGTTTAAAGGACAACAAGCTTTTAATTATTGAGAATATTGTGTTGAGAAATAGAGGATCGGTGCGTGCGCAGTAAAGTCGCAAGGCACGGGTACCCTCGTTCTGCAACTCAAGCCACTCGTCCGTTTTGACTTGGCGACATCTTTTCCCCCTAGTTAGTGAGTTGTCGAACCACTCCATTGACTTCAGGAATGTATCCCGACACGACAGAACGTCACGAATGAAGGACATTTTCTCACCAGATCTCAATGTGCTCCTACGGCTCGATGCTTCTATTTCTTTTATTTGATCACATGTATTAACACTTTTCACTTCACTATCATTTCCAAAACTTTCCTTAGATTCGTTGGTCAAGAGTACCGTGGTAGATTTTACTGATTCGTTGTCTACTACTTTAGTCAGATTGGAATTAAATGAATCATTATCTTGTTTTGTTAAAGAAGTGCACGATGATCCATCGTCTAGAGGTCTGCTTAGTATTATCGTCGGTGCCGATTGTTGAGTCGTCCTATACTGATTGCTCAATGTGTAACTCTTCCGTATCGGTGCTACTAACGAAGAATTTGGATCTCCTATAGGAGAATCGTCTTCTGGCACAGTTCGACAACAACAACACAACTTTTTAAAACACGCACTCATCATTGAAGTAAATTTATTCTTTTCGCGAGACTCGGATTCAATATCGTAAACATTTACTGGTTCGTATTGGTAGCGAACAATCACTGATTTATATTTTGGTTTACTATTTTCGGATGATAAAGAATCAGATTCAGTTTTGTGGCTAATTAGAGTAGCCATTTTAAATACGCTAGCTTGTACACAACGCAACTGAATTGGAACAAATTGAGTGAGTTTATGTAAATCAAATACAAAATCCACATTTTATCGCGTCCTGTCCACTGCGCTTGTTTCCTGTTGTGACTCGTATAGCGATACAAGAACGACTATACCGAACAACGGAACGTGCCATGAGGCCAAAGTTAATAATGTTAGCGAGCAATTATTACAGTCTATTACGAGACTACTGAGTGTACATTACTCCGGTGATATCACCTTTAATTTGATAACGTGGATATAAATAAAAATACAATTTAAAAATTACCTTGTTTAAGAGGGTACAGTGATTTTGGAGGAGTAGATAAAGTACTCCACCGCTTTGGTTGCAACCCGGTGCCTGCATTATTAATGTCTGCATTTAGCGACCTTGACGTTGTTGTAGTTTTTAAAATCCGTTTTTCGACAATCCTATTTAAAACAGGTAAAGATGACTTAAAGGTTTGGCGTCTCAATGTGTTATCAGGAGTGTCCGCTTTGCCGGAATCTTTTTTATTTTCAATTTTGTCTTCAAGTTCTTTATTGATGGCATCCATTTCTTGAATATCTTGTGCTGTCGCTGAAGAACCTGCATATCCTGATTCAGAGCCATTAGAACTTGTGTTATCTGTCTTTTCTGAATACACAACAGCGCCTTCCTTATTTTCTGGGTATAATAATTTTTGCGCAAAAAGCAATGACTCGTTCTTATGTTTTCCAAAACCAGATTCACGTTTTTTAGTTAATGGAGATGCACTTTTTAACGGCAAAGTTTCTCTAGAAACCTGTCCTTTGGTCGGTGGTATATTAACCTCAGGTTGAAGTTTGCTTATTCTCGACAAAACTGAGCTTTCTTTTCTGGTGGTAACTGGTGAAGGTTGTTTTATTGGTATTCTTGACACTGGATAAGTCATCTTCTCTGCAACACTTCTTTCCAGAGTTTTGATTGGTGTAATATTAGGAACAGCAACTTTATCATTATTTTCTTCTTCGTTTTTGTCGGAAATTGATAAAACTGCACATTTTGAGATCATTTCATCGATATCTTTATCAACTGAGTCAAGAACCTTACCACCAATTTCAGACGACACTTTGTTTTCACTTTTTGGTGTAGACGTTTTAATTTGTTCATAAAGAGTGTCACTAAATTTATCAATATCTTCATTGGATAAAGATTCGTCTTGATCTGAATCATAATCATGAAATGATATATTTGTTTTGCGTTCCGCATTGAACCTTTCTGTCATTTCGACGTTTTTTACCTGTTCATTATCGGTGGAGCGTGACACTGTCTCTTTGGCCAACAAAACTCGTCCCGTTGGTGATTCTACTTGAGGTCCAATAGTGTCAGTTTTATTTTCTGACTGTTTGGATTTCGATTTCGTCAAATCTGCATATTTAGCAATTGTTTCATCAATTTCTTTATCAATGGAGTAGTGTTCATTTAGTATCTTTTTAAGTGACAAGGAGCCTATTGATTTAGACATTTCGGAAGGTGATGAAACTTTATCTTCGGGTTTCTTAGCGTCAGTTATTGACGGAGATTTTTTTGGCGTAGTTTTATCCAGTGAATAACGTTCCCTTAATCTTTGTTTCAGCGACAAAGTTTTTTCCTTTAATGATTCATTAGACGTGGCCTTTTTAGGAGTTATTTCTGAACTCGTTGATGGGGTACTCTCTAATTTACTGCGGCTTTCTGTTGTAGATGGTTTCACTATTTTTTTCCCGATTGATAATAATTCACTTCGCTTTTGTTCAGGAGTCTTCGAGGATCGCGTTTCACATAAACGTGATGTGTTTTTGGAAACATCAGTAATATCACCTTTACTTATCTTTTTATCTTGGCTAACGATGTTTAGAGATTTATTTTCAGCGTAATCAGACCCAGGTAATGGTCGAGTGCTCTTTCTTTGAGAAATTGGTTCAACAATTTTAGAAATAGGGTCGGAAAATTTTAATTTAGAATCAATATTATCTCTGGAAAGTGATTTGCTGCTTCCGTCTAAATCTACCGTATGACTAGAAGATAGCATTGATACATCGCTTTTAGTACCTATTGTGTCATCTAACTTTGCTGGATTAATGCTCGGTTTAGGATATAATTTCCGTCGGGGTCTAAAATCTGGCGTAGTACTACTTGAAGACGAACTATCTGATCTAGTTAATTTTACTATCGTAATATTAATATCTGTTTCAGTTGCCTTATCAACTTTTCTCCGTATACCCGGAATTAATTTGTCTGTTACTTTTGGAGACGTTTGCGACGTAGATGATACTAATTTTCTCGTCAAATGCTGACCATTAACTGCTTCTAAATCTGAGTTTTTTTGTAAGTATTGAGAAACTTCAACATTTTGACAAATTCTCTCATCTAACTTTTTTCCAACAATATAATGTTCACTCACTTTTTGTTTTAGAGACACCGCTTTTGGTTTTGATAATTCAGACGCTAAAAAAGAGTAAAGTTTAAATTTCTCTCTTTGTTCTTCTCTTATTTTTGTTAAGGGTATAGGTTCAATGTCGACATCGTCTTCTGTTGAAAAACAATTCCAACACGTCACTTCTTCTACTTTTTTATGTGATGTCCTTCTATTTTTAACTGCACTGACCACTTCTTTATCACTCATCGTTAATGTTTAAAATAATAATATTTCCACAACACGATAAGAACACGTATAGTTGTCGGGTGAGCGCGCGACTAAACCACTTTAAGCTTCGACCAATGTTTTTAAGGTGAATATCGTCGAGCAAGATATATATGAATAATTTAATATAAACGACATTTATATTCAATATACAAATGTTCTAGATGTAAAGAACGATTACGCAACTTGTATAAACCACTATCACGAATATGTCTAACTAATTATTAATGAAATTATTACGCAATTTATAAATATTTGACCTTTGACAAATAAAGTAATTACAACTTAATAGTAAACCTGTTGTGTTTACCATAACTGTAATTTACTGCGTACAAACGGAACATAATAAAATAACATACGCGTAAAAAGAAGAGGACTTGCCGGCTAAACAGACATTACCGTTAAAATTACAATTAATTTAGTTAAAAGGTCATTCGCATTTTTGTAATAGAATTGTCATGTTTTTGTTTTTATTATTTAAAAAAAAGAACCCGTATAGAGCCAAAATTACGGAAGCTTTAGGACATTGAGTTGTTACCTTTTTCTTTTTTTACACGGTTATCAATACGTTATATTCAAGGGCGGCCTGTCGATTGCACAAGTTTTGGAAAGGTCTAAATTTTATAATGGTTGTCTATATGTTGCCGGAACCTTGTACAGGTTACCTACC